ATCATGGCCCGTTTAGAATTTGTAATGAATTGTGTAATAAAATATGAGAGTATTAGCTCGAATAAGCTTTATTAATATAGCTCTACAATATTATTTCAAATATCACTCATGTCAAACTTGACAATACTGTCCAAATCTCATCAAAATCAATCATACAGGACGATCTTCTACATCTAACCCCTCCCTCATGAAGTCATCACTCCTGGGATGATATTTTCTTAAATTAGAAACATGCACAGATTCCTCTATGCCTTCATTGAAGTAATTCACCGATGACACTATTCCATTAAAGGTTTTAACTTTAGTAACTTCAAAACGTCCCTTGACAACAAATTCTTTCCCAATTTTTTAATGCCTTGTTAAAATATGATATCCAATTCTTAAATTTGGCGGTTTAAGTTTTTTGTTTTTGTTTGCTTGTTGTTGTGTGTATTTTTTATATTTATCTTGTTCTTCTTTAGATTTGGGAAGTTCCTTTATCTCTATATCCAGTCCTAAAGATTTATCTGCTAGTAACATAGGTGCCTTTCCAAACAGTTTAAAATTTGGCGAGCAGCCTAAATACTCATTATGTGAATAATTATGGTGCTGTATCGCTGCTTCTAATCCCTTTTTCCAGCCACCAGTGAGTTCAGGGTAGCATTTTAAGTAAGTTTTTACGTCTCTTATGGCTCGTTCGGAAATACCATTACTTTTTGGATGATAAGGACTAGTGTGAATTAACTTTATATTCTTACTTATTGCAAAATTTCGAAATTCTTCAGATTTAAAAGCTTTTCCATAATCTGAAACGATGTTCTTTATTTGGTGAATATAAGGAATTTTATTTAAATAATCTATAAGGGCTCTGCTACTCTCTTTTAATGATTTGCCAAAAACATATCGTGATGCTTCATCTATAACAATAACAAACGATTTTGTGGTTTGATTTAAATCCGACTTTTTACTCACTTCCCCAAAGTCAATATGTACAGTTTCAAATGGAATTTCAGAACATTGTGAGATGTGTATAAAATCTGGTTTAGGTAAATATTTGAATTTATTAATTTGACATATTCGACAAGTTTTCACGTACTCTCTTATCTGCTTTGCCATAGAATTCCAGAAAAATCTCCTTTTTAACTTATAGTATGTCTTATAATAACCGTCATGCCCACCTGAGATCGGATCATCGTGATACATCATTAATATTTCTTTTACCATTCTAAGAGACTTTACTAAATACCTGCCATCTTCTAACTTTTCTAGATCTTCCACCAATAAATTACACCAAAAGGAATCATTTGTTTCATTCGGCATATCAATACATAACCTTGAAATCGCATCACTATCTTTTAATTCTTGGCCACTCTTATGATTTACCTCCATGTCAAAACTCGATAAAAATAATTGCCATCTTGCCAAACGGTCTCTAAGATTTGCGCTGCTTAGAAGTTGAGTTAAAGCTCGGTGATCAGTATGAACAACAAAGTGTTTATTTTCTAAATATATTCTAAAATGTTTGACCGCCTTGACCACTCCTAGACACTCTTTTTCTGTAACTGAATAGTTTAGCTCACTTTTAGAAAAGGTATATGAGTAGTAGCTTATAACTCGGAGTTGTCTATTTTTAGTCTCGTTCTCATCTCTTTGATATAGGATAGACCCACACCCATAGTATGACGCATCTGTAGCTAGTTCGTATTTTAATTTTGGATCTGGTAAACGAAGAATCGGTTCTGAAGTAATAATTGTTTTTAAATTTTGGAATGCTTCTTCACATTTTTCACTCCAAATAAATTTTTTATTTTTTGATTTGAGTTCTTCTAACGGTTTGGCAATCTTACTATAATCCTTAATGAAACTTCTAAAATGATTAGTAAGACCAGTGAAACACTGTAAAGATTTTAAATCAGTTGGTTTCTTCATATTTTGTACCTTTCCTACAGTTTCTTTTTTCATTATTTTTATATTACCATCTATTTCTCTTCCTAAAAATATAACTTTTCTTACACAAAATATGCATTTTTTTCAAATTTATTTTAAAATTGTTGTCATTCAATCTCTTTAAAATTCCAAGAGTGTTTGCCTGACACTCGTCTGAATCGGATCCTCCACAAATGATGTCGTCGATGTATACTAAGATTTTTTTTCCCAATAAGTCTCCTAATACTTCTTGCATTATACTCTAGAATCTAGCGCTTGAATTTTTCCATCCAAAAGGTAATCTTTTAAATTCATAATGCCCTTCTTCAGTTATAAAAGCTGTGTATTTCCTAGTATGTTCCGAAAGTTTCGATAATATCATCAATCATGGGAAACGGGAAAGGATCTAGGTGTGTTTCTTCGTTAATTTTCCTATAGTCTATGCAAAATCTATCCCATCTGCCTATCTGTCCCATCAGCCTTCATCTGAAGTACACAAGGTGAGGCATACGGAGAATCAGATTTTGTAGTAATGTCTCTTTCAATTAATTCTTTAATTTTTTCTTTAATCCAGTTCTTCTTTTCTATAGAATGTCTATATGGCTTTAATCCTACAATTTTTGCACGTTCTTTTAAATCGAAATTTGTACTATAATTACTGGGGTTACTATCATTATAATTTAAAACATTTGGGAATGATTTTCTTATACTCTCTTCAGATATAAGATGTTTTACTTTATTATGAAAAATCTCCAAATTATTTAGGGTTTTTCGACCTATTATCATGTCAAATAAAATATCTTCAACAATAACAGGATTTATTTCTTTTTCGTTCCCATTTATATTTATCTGGATTCTTGAATCATAAGAGCATCTTGTTATTTCCGCTAGACTTCTGATACTGACATTTTTCTTAAATTTTGGAAATTTATACCTATCAACTACTTTTTCATTAATTATATCTAGTTGTGAACCAGTGTCTAACAAAGCCTTTAGTTTATATCATATACTAATACAGGTACAACATTTTCATTATTTTCTATTGAAATATTAAAATTGTACGAAAAATTCGAATAATTTTCAAAATACTGTATTTCTTTCTCATCAACATCATTGTTAACTATTTCATTGCAGTAGTTTCTAGAAAAATTGTCCTTCAAACCTGCTCCTTCTGTTCTTCTATTAGTGTCCCTTTTTTCTACTGGCTTCCACGTGTGATTCTTCTTGAAACGTGTTTGAGTATTCTTTGGCAACCCGTTCTCCTGATAACCTGGAGCACTGCAGAATTTCTCAATCTTTAAATATTTTAAATTTTGTAGTAACTCCTGCTTCGAATTAATTTCTTTACCACTGAGCTGCCTTTGCATGGTTGTAGGAAGTCCCAAAATAACTAAAGCTATCAAAGATCTTTCAGAAATGGTATCATCTGCCCATTTAAGTAACCTTTGCTTTTCGAAAAAATATTCTAATATATTTCCATAATGATATTTTAATGCCAATGCCTTTCCCATTTAACAATGTAATTTTCATCGAATGTTTCGATGAACTCCTTCTTCCATTCCTCCCACTGAAACTCATTCATTGCTGTGATCTGAACCTTCTCTTCATACCAACTTAGTGCTACGCCTGTTAGTTGACCTCTAAGGTGGAAGATCTTCTCAGCTGTTGAATTCCATTCATTCAAAAGACATGCAAACTCATATGAGTTCATCCAGGCCAGTGGATTCTCGCCCAAACCATCAAACATCGGTATTTTCACCATCTCCGGTCTAGTTTTTATTGACAGCCACTTCGACATCATTTTGTCTAGTTCGTTCTTTCCAAAAATTATGTTCTGGTCTTTTTCTTTTTCACCTGCGGTCTCCTCATGGTCGATTCGGATAATGTTTTCACTTGACTGCGCCATTGTAATAAAATATGAGAGTATTAGCTCGAATAAGCTTTTTCCTACGACCACTTAGGAAAGTGACACATATCACACTATATAGACCTATGGAAAGTGCCCTATATCACACGCGTATGAATAAGAATTTACTTTCCACCCAAGTGAGAATATGCTACTTTCCGCAGTAGCTGTCAGAAAATGTCAAACTAAAATCGATATGATTGTTAAATTATTGTAAATTAGATCCTAGATATTTATCTTTAACAATTATTTTTAAAATAATTTTAAAATAACTAAGATATATTTGCTTTTTATTCTGGTTAAACACATAAGCGATTAGATCAATCAATTACCGTAAGGCCTGTTAGCTCAGTTGGTTAGAGCATCAACTTTGCAATTTGAGACCGTCCAACGACCGCGATCGAATCCTGGCTGTGCCAGATTTTTTTTCTTGTTTTTTAATTTTTTTTTATTTGTTTAGAAATTATGAAAATTGAATAAATACGATTATTGTTGATTATTTTTTTAAATACATTTTAATTATTATAATAATCTGGTTTTACATTTTTGATGAAATTATTTTGTGATCGTAGGAAAAATATTGTACATCACTTGTGTGAAAAGTGATTTTCCACACTCGTAATGTAATATACTATTTTGCACTATTCCAAAATAGCGCGGGAAAGCAAATTTTTGATAAATGTTTTTGTGAGTTTTTAATACAAACTTAGAATCTATCCAAATATTTAGCTGTTGCAGTTCGCAGTTCTGTTACGCAGGATGTTTCACGGCATAATAACGAAATAAAAAATATAAATGTGGCAGATCTACAATTGGAATTAAGGGTTACATAAAATGAAATCGACCGAGTGCCATTTCCATAACAGGTTCTCATTAAAATAAAATTTTCATATCGCATAACGTAGAATGGTGGCAATAAATTTTATGGAAATTAAGCTATTTGCCAAATTGTTTTCACTTTGTGCTGTGTTCGGAAACAGCGGTAAATCAATTTTATAGTGTTTCTTGAATATTATTTTTGCATTACCAATTTTTACTTTCCTGTCTGTATACAGATAAGGAAAGTATAGGAATCATGATTTTTTTCGACCTCGAGTTTTCGACGAATTTTTACATCAAAATATCTCAAATTAAAATATTCTTAAAATCCCTACAACGGTTTATTAAAGATAATTTTTGCTTGTTTCAGATTCAAACGTTTCGATAACCACTTCATCAGGCCTTATCTTTTGCGCAACCATCACGGCCAAGGGGCCGAACAAAAAATTTTGGAAACATATTCGAAATTGGCCATGAGGGACGCTATGGAATATATGAGAAGGAACGCGTCAACCATTGGAAATATATCCAATACTGAGAGCATGTCGGCCATCTTTAAAAACTATACCACGACGAATATCAATAGCAGGTAGGAATACAAATAGTGTGAGGCTAAAATTTTAGCTGTAAGGGCGGCGTCTGGCCCTATCTCGAAAATTGTTTAACTAGATGATTTCAACTTTCCGCTATGTCACGTGATATATCACATACAAAATAAAATTGTGTTTTCAAAAAGAAAATTTATATAATTTTAAACCAAGCTTTCAAAAACACAATATTTTGAAGTGTGAAGTGTTTCATTATTTTTCTGTATTGTACGGGTTGTAACGAAAAGACAACATGTAAATATGTTAAGTTTTAAAGAAAATTCCTAGGTAAGTCAATGCGATTATATGTGGTTTAGATACCAAAAATCAGTCATTTTTCGAGTGCTTTAAAACACCTCCGTTTCTTAAGATGTCTTCACAATCCCTATGTACACTTCATAAATCGTTTTCAATACTAAAATTAATGCCAGAAAGGTAATTTTTCCCGAAAGCTTTGTTTAAAGTCAACCGCGCATATACGGCAGACTTATATGGGCGAACGCCAACATTAATTGACTGGACTATTAAAAGTAAATTATAATGCTGTTCGGTTTCTTTTTAAATCTAATCTATATAATAATACCATTGTATAAATATATCTAGTAAGTCAACGCTTATGGAGACAAAGTTTGATTTTATTATGCTCGTCACATGGCGGTTCCAAGCGGATAGTAGCGCAAATTAAAAAAAGTCGTGAGCAGAAAACAGTTTTCTAGATGCTGGTAAAAGAAGTTGGGATTGTTTGTTCAACCATAACCGTACAACGTTGTCATTTTGCGAATTTTTGGATCGTACATCATCTCTATTTAACAAAACTGGCAACTATCGAATAATAGTTTACCAGCTTTATAATTGCGATTTATTAGAAGTCGCTTATATGATCTTTAAGATGATGGTCTACCATATTACGCATATTTCGTGTTTAGCGTGAATTCTAGCTATCGGTAGGCATTTAACATTTTTGTCCTTATGTAGGTAAATCGCAAATTTTGTCATCCATCTTCCTATAAATATGATGGAAATAATAAAATCGTATGAATGTTTGTTATGCGGGACCGTAATTTACGAAATTATTAAACTTATAGTTTTTAATAGAATGTAGGTAGGTAGTTTGGATAAAAAAAAGTTGGATATAAAATAATATTATTAATAAAAGACAAGATTTTTAAATAACCTAAGTAGTAGCCTCTTACAAGAATTATTAGCTTTCTTGGGGGGAAATAACTACACGTGCAGAGGTTATTTTTTTATTAATAAATAATAAATGTATTTTTATTAAACATTTTGTTATTAAAAATATAAGGAAAATGAGGAATTAATTTATGTATTTTGCACTATAGACAACTTGACATTTTTTTACTGGCTTGAAGTTTCCTCGTTTTCTTTGCCGCTTCTAATTTGGACCGGTTCTTACAATATTTGAAAATTTGAGTTGTAATTAATAAATCTAACATATACTGTCTGTGTTCCACACAGTTACTATTATAATTACACCATTCTGCTAAAAATGTTTTTATTTTTTTAATTATAATTTTTCGCAAATTATAAAAAAATATTTGATAATATATTCTTCTTTCTTTTGCGTGACAGTTTTTAGCGATATTCTAGCAAATTGGCTCAATAGTGATGATGAACATTTTAGCCCGGATTGCTCGTTTAGATTATAAGTTTAATAAAAAATTAGTGGTGTTCATCATTCATAACATTTTTTTTTTCTTCAAAATAATTTTGACACTCCTAGCATTTAAATTTTTTTACGCATTTGTTATTAAGTTTCCGGCAAAAGTACATAGTGGAACATTCTTCTAATGTTACAGGAAGCGTCTTCTCTAATGAACTATTGATTTCAGAACTCTTATTGTATTCTTCATTATCTGTATCTTCATCATTATGAGGCTCTATTAAAAACGTTTAAAGCATTACCAGACCCCAGGAGATTTTGGTCTTCATCCTGATTCGTTCCCGAATTTGCTTTAAGTGGAGGCCTCATGAAATTATTAACGATATTTAGCTTAAAAGCTGCTTTGAAACCGCTAACAGTAGGATTTAGATTATAACTCCCTTTCTGCCTATAAGCAGAAAATTGGTTTTCTAATGGATCCTAAATTAGTCTTCCTGCTAATACATATTTAAGTTGAGTTTGCGTAATAATATAGGAATAAAACTCCTTAACAGCATTTATGGCAAAAAGAAAACCATCGAATAAATTCAGTCTCGTTAATTTAACTTTGGCAGTTTGTTTAGCTACATTATTTAAAAGTTCGTATCCTTGTGTAACAGCATTAAAATAACCTCTTTATTCTCATTATAATACGATAGGTTACAAGATTTCGAACTTTATGCAGAAGAACTATTTAAGCCATCAAATAGGTTGTTCATTGTTTCAATAAAATAGGCTGTATTTTCAGCCGTTATGGAAACTAATTCTCTTGTTGCCGTATTAATGGTTGTAGCTACAGAATGGTTAAATAACTGAGTAGCGAATTTTGCACTTACTTTTTCAAATGCATTTGGGAAAAGGTTTTTTAAAGTGATTTTTAATAAAGCTCTTGCAGATTTGCTACGTTGGTCCAGTTCATAAAGCTATTTAACTTCAGCAAATCTGATAAAATTGCCATTGAAGATAAAATAATCTTGCAAAAACTTATTTCGAACGCATTTTACTAGGTCAGGCACATAAAAAATACAAAGTAATTGTTTTCTACTATGGTAAATTTAGGGTTGTCTACAGTAATACCGGTTATAAACAGGTAGGGTTATATTTAGCCCAGAACGCTGCGGCATCTTGAGTCTATTGTACGTCTATTGCCTTCTTTGTATTCAGGTACTATTTTTGGAATAGTTCTGTTTCCTATCAAGTGTTCCTGGGACATAATTTCTAATTTAAAACCAAAAAGGGGTAGTCGCCACCTAGCATTCGATTTAAAGATAACATGGTATGAGGTTTATTTCTCTTCTATGCAGGGTCTATTCACGTGGTGAGATCATTGTGTAATCCAATCACATGAACGTGTTTCAGGAAGCAGATTCCCCTTAATAATCCCTCAATGGTGGATATCTGAGGCCTTGCGAGCTACAGCGTAGGTTTGGTCCCCTTAGCATGAGTGTACTGATTCTGTGTCCTCGTCTCTATTGCTAGTGAATTTAGTGTTCATTGGTTATTCACCTCTTCACTGCGTGTCTAGCAGATGTTTTGCTTATTCCAATTACAGGTTCAGGTCTTTGTGAATGGTAGTTCTGATCCCTCTTTGGCGAGTTCATCAGCCTTTTCATACCTTTATGTCCTGATGCCCATGCTAGTTTTACTTTATTGAGGTCTAAGTGCCACCCTCCACACGTTACAGATACAGATAACCTAGAAATTATTCATCTCACTCACTCATAACTAATAACAAAGTGCACATTGTCAGTGTTTACCTATTGCAGAACACATAAACCAATAAATTATTGTAGTCAACACATAATCCAGTTATCGAGGTGGCCAGCAGGAATGTCTTATTATTGTATTGACAGATAGATTAAAGGATGTTATCACTGTGTAACTTTTACATAAGGGACTGGCTATGAGACTTGATTTAAAAGGAATAAATGGAAATTGTGTTAAAATAATAGAACAAATATTTTGACTATAACTTCAGGAAACGCAAAAAAATTGAAAAAAAAATATACAGATTACATTCCCTCATTAAAAAATACAACATGGATATTTCAGGTATTACCCGAGAATACCGATCAAGGAGAAGCGACAGTAGCTGTCGGTACCTTTGATATCGGATGTACCTTTTTCACAGAATGACTTTGATTAATACACAACTTAGCACGCTGAGAAAACATGCTTATTTTCTACACTGAGCGAAATAGTTTGGCAAATTATCTGAAATTATTGTTATAGTCCACGCGCAAATGTTGCGATGTGATTTAATTACATTGAAGTAGTTAGGGTTAATAGCAATGGTGAAATTTCGGCACCAAAATGTATACATTTGGATTTATATTATATCAAGAGGGCTTTCAAGTTTATCACTCATTTCTGTAGAAACAAGTATTTTCTCGCCAAGTTAAGCCAGATGTCATTTAAGGTTTATGTATTGAGAGTTAAATACCTGGCCTGGCTATCACCCAGACAATACAAATATGTTCATTGGACGTCCCTTCGATATACAATTTTGGATGTCTAGACGTCCAAAAATAAATTTTTTCTGGACTTTCGACATCCAATGGACGTCCAGTGAAGTATACAAATGGTACACTTTTGACCATTCAGAGGACGTCCAATTCTGGAATATATTTTGACGTCGAATACTGGACATTCAAAAAACGTCCAGGATTACATTTCTATTGAGATCACATCCCCACTTTTTTTACAGAACCGCAACTCACCACACACTATTTTATATTATTAATAAACCATTTATTTTTTTTTATTAAAAATCCCTTGACCTGAGCAGGAATCGAACTCACGACACATCCATTATCGTTTTTCGCTTTCAATCGATAGACGAGCTCGACCAAGGAACCACTTGAAAACTTTTTACTAGATACAGTTATAATTGAATAAGATTTCAAACTTCCGCTGATAGAATGAATTTTTAATGACCAGTTATATTAAAAAAAAGAAGTATATATAGATGGCTATTATCTAGTAGGCTTAATAAATGATGACCCAAGATTGACGTCCACAGGACGTCAAAATATTACCAAACTTAAAATTAAGTCCAAAAACAGACGTTTGCTAGGTATCGATATTCAGCTGTCAATTTAATTAGCATAAACGGACGTACACTGAAAGCCCGGATATGGACGTCCTAACCTTCAAATAGATCTAAAGTGGACGTCCATTGGACTATGTGTGCTGTCTGGGCATAGACGAATTTTTAGAAATAGTACTTAAAGTATGCACCAATATTTCCAAAATCAACTCCAGTATGATTCATTCAATAAATTAATGTAAATATGAATGGGCAAAATATCTTTATATTGACTTAATTGTAACTTACAATTT